GGATGCAAGAGAAACATCAATCAATACTCCAACACGCAGCATTTTGAAAATTAAGGCAAAAATCATCCATTTTTTTGAGAAAAAAAGTTCATTTTTGAGCGATTTTATCTTAAATTTTCGACTGAATGTCCCCTTGAATAGCACATCTGTCCAGCAATGGATTGGGAATGCGTTCTAGAGCCATTAAGGCATCTTTCTAGCAACTTTCAAGCAATTTCATTTTTTGGCCAAAATTGAAAAAAATGCAAGGGGTTAGCCTTACATTTGTTGTCAAAATTGGCCAAAAATTGACTTTTCTCCAAACAACGCAGCAATTCATCTGGATGCAAGAGAAACATCTGACCACCACACGATTTGGAATGCGTTCTACAGCCCTTTAGACGTCTTTCTAGCAACTTTCAAGCAATTTCATTTTTTGGCCAAAATTGAAAAAAATGCAAGGGGTTAGCCTTACATTTTTAGTCAAAATTGGCCAAAAATTGACATTTCTCCAAACAAGGCAGAAATTCATCTGGATGCAAGAGAAACATCAATCGATACTCTTACACGAAGCATTTTCAAGATTTGGGAAAAAATCATCCATTTTTTTGAGAAAAAAAGGTAATTTTCGAGCGATTTTTCCTTAATTTTTCGACTGAATTTCCCCTTGAATAGCACATCTGTCCAGCAATGGATTGGGAATGCGTTCTATAGCCATCAAGGCATCTTCCTAGCAACTTTCAAGCAATTTCATTTTTTGGCCAAAATTGAAAAAAATGTAAGGGGTTAGCCTTACATTTTTAGCCAAAATTGGCCAAAAATTGACTTTTCTCGAAACAAGGCAGAAATTCATCTGGATGCAAGAGAAACATCAATCAATACTCCAACACGCAGCATTTTGAAAATTAAGGCAAAAATCATCCATTTTTTTGAGAAAAAAAGTTCATTTTTGAGCGATTTTATCTTAAATTTTCGACTGAATGTCCCCTTGAATAGCACATCTGTCCAGCAATGGATTTGGAATGCGTTCTAGAGCCATTAAGGCATCTTTCTAGCAACTTTCAAGCAATTTCATTTTTTGGCCAAAATTGAAAAAAATGCAAGGGGTTAGCCTTACATTTGTTGTCAAAATTGGCCAAAAATTGACTTTTCTCCAAACAACGCAGAAATTCATCTGGATGCAAGAGAAACATCTGTCCACCACACGATTTGGAATGCGTTCTACAGCCCTTAAGACGTCTTTCTAGCAACTTTCAAGCAATTTCATTTTTTGGCCAAAATTGAAAAAAATGCAAGGGGTTAGCCTTACATTTTTAGTCAAAATTGGCCAAAAATTGACTTTTCTCCAAACAACGCAGAAATTCATCTGGATGCAAGAGAAACATCAATCGATACTCTAACACGAAGCATTTTGAAGATTTGTGAAAAACTCATCCATTTTTTTGAGAAAAAAAAGGTCATTTTCGAGCGATTTTTCCTTAATTTTCGACGGAATTTCCCCTTGAATAGCACATCTGTCCAGCAATGGATTGGGAATGCGTTCTAGAGCCATTAAGGCATCTTCCTAGCAACTTTCAAGCAATTTCATTTTTTGGCCAAAATTGAAAAAAATGCAAAGGGTTAGCCTTACATTTGTAGTCAAAATTGGCCAAAAATTGACTTTTCTCAAAACAAGGCAGAAATTCATCTGGATGCAATAGAAACATCAATCAATACTCAAACACGCAGCATTTTGAAGTTTAAGGCAAAAATCATCCTTTTTTGGAGAAAAAAAGGTCATTTTTGAGCAATTTTACCTTAATTTTTCGACTGAATTTCCCCTTGTATAGCACATCTGTCCAGCAATGGATTGGGAATGCGTTCTAGAGCCATTAAGGCATCTTCCTAGCAACTTTCAAGCAATTTCATTTTTTGGCCTAAATTGAAAAAAAATGCAAGGGGTTAGCCTTACATTTTTAGTCAAAATTGGCCAAAAATTGACATTTCTCCAAACAAGACAGAAATTCATCTGGATGCAAGAGAAACATCAATCAATACTCTAACACGAAGCATTTTGAAGATTTGGGAAAAAAATCATCCATTTTTTTGAGAAAAAAAGGTCATTTTCGAGCGATTTTTCCTTAATTTTTCGACTGAATTTCCCCTTGAATAGCACATCTGTCCAGCAATGGATTGGGAATGCGTTCTATAGCCATTAAGACATCTTTCTAGCAACTTTTATGCAATTTCATTTTTTGGCCAAAATTGAAAAAAATGCAAGGGGTTAGCTTTACATTTGTAGTCAAAATTGGCCAAAAATTGACTTTTCTCAAAACAAGGCAGAAATTCATCTGGATGCAAGAGAAACATCTGTCAACCACACGAATGGAATGCGTTCTACAGCCCTTAAGACGTCTTTCTAGCAACTTTCAAGCAATTTCATTTTTTGGCCAAAATTGAAAAAAATGCAAGGGGTTAGCCTTACATTTTTAGTCAAAATTGGCCAAAAATTGATTTTTTCCAAACAAGGCAGAAATTCATCTGGTTGCAAGAGAAACATCAATCAATACTCCATCACGCAGCATTTTGAAGATTAAGGCAAAAATCATCCTTTTTTGGAGAAAAAAAGTTCATTTTTGAGCGATTTTACCTTAATTTTTTTCGACGGGATTTCCCCTTGAATAGCACATCTGTCCAGCAATGGATTGGGAATGCGTTCTATAGCCCTTAAGACATCTTTCTAGCAACTTTCATGCAATTTCATTTTTTGGCCAAAATTGAAAAAAATGCAAGGGGTTAGCCTTACATTTTTAGTCAAAATTGGCCAAAAATTGACTTTTCTCAAAACAAGGCAGAAATTCATCTGGATGCAAGAGAAACATCAATCGATACTCTAACACGAAGCATTTTGAAGATTTGTGAAAAAATCATCCATTTTTTTGAGAAAAAAAAGGTCATTTTCGAGCGATTTTTCCTTAATTTTTTCGACGGAATTTCCCCTTGAATAGCACATCTGTCCAGCAATGGATTGGGAATGCGTTCTATAGCCATTAAGGCATCTTCCTAGCAACTTTCAAGCAATTTCATTTTTTGGCCAAAATTAAAAAAAATGCAAGGGGTTAGCCTTACATTTGTAGTCAAAATTGGCCAAAAATTGACTTTTCTCAAAACAAGGCAGAAATTCATCTGGATGCAAGAGAAACATCAATCAATACTCCAACACGCAGCATTTTGAAGATTAAGGCAAAAATCATTCATTTTTGGAGAAAAAAGGTAATTTTCGAGCGATTTTACCTTAATTGTTCGACTGAATTTCCCCTTGAATAGCACATCTGTCCAGCAATGCATTGGGAATGCGTTCTAGAGCCATTAAGGCATCTTTCTAGCAACTTTCAAGCAATTTCATTTTTTGGCCAAAATTGAAAAAAATGCAAGGGGTTAGCCTTACATTTGTAGTCAAAATTGGCCAAAAATTGACTTTTCTCAAAACAACGCAGAAATTCATCTGGGTGCAAGAGAAACATCTGTCCACCACACGATTTGGAATGCGTTCTACAGCCCTTAAGACGTCTTTCTAGCAACTTTCAAGCAATTTCATTTTTTGGCCAAAATTTAAAAAAATGCAAGGGGTTAGCCTGACATTTTTAGACAAAATTGGCCAAAAATTGATTTTTCTCCAAACAAGGCAGAAATTCATCTGGATGCAAGAGAAACATCAATCGATACTCTAACACGAAGCATTTTGAAGGTTTGGGAAAAAATCATCAATTTTTTTTGAGAAAAAAAAGGTAATTTTCGAGCGATTTTTCCTTAATTTTTCGACTGAATTTCCCCTTGAATAGCACATCTGTCCAGCAATGGATTGGGAATGCGTTCTAGAGCCATTAAGGCATCTTCCTAGCAACTTTCAAGCAATTTCATTTTTTGGCCTAAATTGAAAAAAAATGCAAGGGGTTAGCCTTACATTTGTAGTGAAAATTTGCCAAAAATTGACTTTTCTCAAAACAAGGCAGAAATTCATCTGGATGCAAGAGAAACATCAATCAATACTCCAACACGCAGGATTTTGAAGATTAAGGCAAAAATCATCCTTTTTTGGAGAAAAAAGGTCATTTTTTTGAGCGATTTAACCTTAATTTTTCGACTGAATTTCCCCTTGTATAGCACATCTGTCCAGCAATGGATTGGGAATGCGTTCTAGAGCCATTAAGGCATCTTCCTAGCAACTGTCATGCAATTTCATTTTTTGGCCTAAATTGAAAAAAAAAATGCAAGGGGTTAACCTTACATTTGTAGTCAAAATTGGCCAAAATTGACTTTTCTCAAAACCAGGCAGAAATTCATCTGGATGCAAGACGACAATCAATCAATACTCTAACACGGAGCAATTTGAAGATTTTGGCAAAAATCATCTATTTTATCTAGTTCATTTGAGCACCAGGGGACTCAAAAGAACGTGATTTGAACTCTGGTTGGATATTCGGTTGTTAATAGTTTTCTCGGAAGATTGGCCATCACGCGAACGATTTTGGAAGTATTTCAGAGCCTCAGTATTCGCAATTCGTAATCATAATATTTTGGATTGATTCGCATGTTGTTTTATTATAAGACAGCATATCCCCACAGACGTTACTACAAAATAAACAAAATGTGCAATCTTGGAATGAAGGTTTTGTACTAACTAAAAAATAATAAAAATATGGTTATGGGGACGTAATCTGTCACATTATTTTAAATAAAAAAATGTGTTATTTTTTTTATGGGGGGCCGCTCTTTGAGAAATGCAATGAGTGAAAGACCATAAGTTGACTCTACTTACAACAGGCATGCCAGTAAATTTTTAATACTCTACCAACGCCAAAAATAAAGGATCAAGATAATACATTGTTGGGGCACCATACGTGGGTAGCTTAGTATATTAGCAATTGATTGGTAAGAGGATTTCAAAGAGAAACAGAGTAAATATCATTCACTAAAGCAAGTCAATTGTTACAATGTCTTCTTTGAACGAAAAGAAAGAAACGAAAAACAAGTTGCAGCCATTCTGGTGTGTTTGTTATCGTTATCTCAATATTGCTCAATTACAAAATGAATAGTCACATCACATCTTTGATTTGTAACTTAAGGCCCTCGTGGCATTTCTGAGCACTATTTCATAAAACTTTGTCAATCCGAACTCTACTATCTTCACACCAAATCAATGGTTCAATCTGCATATATAATCAATTGTTCGTTTGTGTTAGGGTATTTGTTTCTCGAAAACAATGTATATAAAGATATTCTAAAACTATTGCACACAATCCAATTAAAACCTCGAATCAATACGATGCACCGACTCGCCATTCTCATTCAAATTACAAAAAAATTGTCATGCTATAATTAAACAATTCACCATTTTAATACTGACACCATATTGCACGAATCTATAAAAGTTACATTGAAAGTGCCCTGAGAGTATGTGCATAATAAACCACAGTAGTTAAACATAAATTGTGTTGTTATTTACATACATTGTTCATGCTACAGATCAGGATATTTTCAAACAATTGTAAAAATCCCTCCAAAAGTTATCGAAATTATGCTCACCATCGAGAAAAAACAAGTTCTTGCTAATAGTGTTTAGCAATGTGTACCACTTTAAGGAACTATCAGGGTTAGTCAACGTGTGATGTGAATTGGTTTTCAAAATATTTTGCCCTCTGAATAGCATTTCATTAAAATTGCAAAGTTCTCGATAGAGGGCGCCAGTCAATGACAAAACAATTCATTTGACCGGGAGCCAATGATTTCAGCATGTTCGTTCAGCTCAAAATGATCGACATCTCGTTCACTTCATGGCAAGATACAGTTAGGCCTGGGGCTACCCATAATGCGTCGCATGTGTCAGAATATTAATTTTCGGATCATCTATGTTTCCCACTACACTGCAAAAACTGTAGTGTTAATTTAACACCATTCGGTATCTATAAAGGACAACACCAGTAAAATTAACACCAGATGGTCCTATATAGATACCAATGGTGTAAATTTAACACTGCAGTTTTCGCAGTGTATCACGTGTTAATGTGGCTTGGAATGCCGCGTATAAAGTTCAAATCTTCCATTTACCGTAGTTAGCACATCCCGTCCGAACACCGACTCATCACACTCATATTATAGAGTCAGAGAGCAGACAGTCTATCGTTTGTCGTCATGACCTCAATTTGAGGTCAACTATATCAAAATACTTATAGTGCGGCAGATAGGTGCGGGGATTGTGCCTTTGATGAAACAAGCATGGTATTTGGCACACAGACCGAGTATTTCCTAAGAAAGATATTTGGCTACAGGGCTATTGCAGATTTGTCCTTTTGCACACAAAAAAGCAGGTAGAATAACAAGCAATGGCAGCGGGAATGACCGCCATTGCTTTTATTTTCCCTATCTGAGTCACAAATCAAGACATTCTTAGTAATGCTCAGCAATATCTGGTCAGCGATATAATCAACAAGCGCAAACTTACATGGTAAGGGCATGCTCTGAGAAAGCATTCTGAAAGATACCCGAACTTGATAATTAGAGGGCAAGTCGTAGGCAAAAGACCCAGAGGGGCTCCAAGGAAAAGATGGTTTGACCACGTAAAGGAGGTTCTTACGAAGATGGGCATCTATATGGATAATGCACAAGAACTTGCACAGGACCGAGGGAAATGGCTGCAGCCCTACCCATCATAACTGATTGTGGCAGGATGTCAGCATGATAAGCAAGCTCCACTGTTACTGGTGCACATTCGGCATTACTTTCCGTATGTACACTTACTGGAGTACTGGGCAAATATTGGAAGGATGAGCATCGGCAAGACGCATGAAACCAACACGGTTTCCGAAGCCTTTTATGGCTTTCCTGTCCTCATAAGTATATCGGGCTTCCAGTCTGTGCAAACCTTCAGGCCTCGACCGTGTCAGCGGTCACGGCTCCCGGCAGTTCATCTGTCAGGTCGCTTTGATCACTCGGGCTGGCGGCAAGGCACAGGTCCGGTAAGTCGTAATCCGATTTGTCCTTCCCTATGAGCCAATATGTCGTCATCGGAGCTTTGCCCTGTCGTGTGAATAACACATTCAACGTTAATGACCTTATATGAAAATCGCCTCCATGCACATTAAAGGGAAACAACATTTTGCTTTTGCTATAATTTTAATTCCCACGGTCAGGATTTGAACCCGTGTACCACGGCACACGAGTCGAACATCGTAACCATTGGACCACAGCATGAGGATATGTTTATCCCTTACTTAAAAAAGTATAATCTTGATGTGTACACGCACATGTCAAACATACCTTAACGTTGATCTCTCCCCGTAACTCTATCTTGAACCCGCCGATCTGATCCAGGACGTCACGCGTGCTCGTGCTGATGTGAATGCGCAAGGCTGAGAACAGATGAAACACACGTTAGCAGAGAGAAGCCAGCACAACTTTTATTTATATCAGTATCTCTAGATATTCCCAGTCAGAGTTTAGCGGCATAGGTAAAACCACCGCGTCACCGACGGGAGTAGGCCGCGCCAATGGTTGAGTATAGTTGCAATATTTCACCGGTTTGCTGCTTGTGGGCAGCTGACTGAGTGTTGTATAAGGGTGCAGACCCGCATATCAACGTCCATATGCCACAATGGTAATTATGCGTACATCCATTTTTTTTTTAAATACTCATAACTTACAGATAAATTACATACACAATCAACACAATGCAACAATCGGGTAACTTGATACTTTACCTAGTCCATTTGACTCCATACGGGACGCAGTGTTAACGGTGTCCCCGAAGAGACAAAAGCGAGGCATCTTTTGACCAACGACGCCAGCTACTACTGGACCTTGATGATACAACGAGTAAAAACAATATTCAGTCCTATTAATAAATGTGTGCTTGTCCGGTTTTAAACACTCTGTTTTGGACCGGCTGGAGTCTGGATGCTGATAATTACCCGAGCCGAAGGCAAGGGTAATTATCAGCATCCAGACTCCAACCGATCTTAAACATAATGTTTAGTACCGGCCAAACACATATTTATTCTGTGATTTTTTACATTTTGGATATCAGATTAAAGCTACCTGAGAGGTTTTTTTTCATTCAACTTCCTCCAGTGTCCTTGACCTGTGCTTATAACTCACCCGTATGCACGCCGGTTCGCAGTTGGAGCTGCTGGTGTGGCCGGTGCCTGATCCTGAAGGATTTAACGGAGCTGAGGAGGTCAAGGGCCAGGCTGCTGATCTCGGCCGCGTGCCGATTGCCGTTACGCTCCGGTACGCCCGACGCTACCATGTAGGCGTCACCTATAGTCTCTACCTGCAGACGGCAGAACAAGTGACATTTAAACTTATATTGGCTCAAGAACAATGATCAAGATTATAAACTCATTTTGTTTTACTAATCTGTTATGGCTTAAACCAAGAGATGCTCAAAAGTTCACTAGCACTGTGGTTCGAACGCCAAAAGAAATATATAGCTCAGGAGACGCCCAGGAAATAATGGCAATTTAAAAACTCTCAGCTTGTTCTGAATATTTAATCTGGGACGCACTCACCTTATAAATGTCGTAGTTATCAATCGTGTCGTCGAAAAGAGTGTACAGATCGTTCAAAAGTTCCACAACCTGTCAAGAAAAAAAAAAATGTGTAACTAAAGTGTTTATGCGGACGTAATTGAACTGCAGGTTTGGTTTCGACGCTCACATTGCAGCGATCTGTTAACTGTTTTTTACATTTCATGGAGATCGTGGAAGTAAATTTGACGTAGTTTTTTACAAACAGTCGAAGACAGATTGCATTCAAAGCGCAAAAACATGTGTGCATTATGTCTCTGAGGAGCTAGAAAAAAAACCAGCCGACTTTGGAGACAAAGACGAAGTTTGGAATACCCTAAAACGTCACCGTTGAGGGCGAAGTTGTGCACTGAGTCCATTACCTGGAAGGGAGTGCTCTCTGATGCTAGCCGTGTGAAGCCCACGATATCGCTGAAATACACGGTAACCTGCTCGTATTGTTCCGCCGTCACTAGGTCGCCGCGTTTCAGCTGAGCCGCTACCGACCTAAAATACAACCCAACAAAAAAACACAATCGGTAAAGGAAGAGGAACCTTTGACAGTTGTGAGGGCCTACCTCTGAGCTCTGGATTCTAGCCCCCCCCCCCCCGTTCTCTCTTTCTTTAACAGAATATACAGAGTGTATGTGATAGACCCATTCTTAAAATTTGTTAATTGTTAACTGGTCTTGGCAATAAGTCTAGTTAATTGGTCAAGGCAATAATAGCAGAAACGTGCCAGCAATTGTTCAGAGTAACCGTCATGGAGCGATTGCTTTGGACAACACATGGCACAATGCTTCCGCCAGTACTTGGGGCCATCATGAGTGCCCAACGACTCCGTCTCCAGATTGTCTGTACCTTGGTAACATCTGATGCAGCAGCTGATCCGTCTTCTTCTTCTCATCCTCCAGTTGCTGCGTTCTCTCGTTCACCAATTCCTCCAGGTGGTCCGCGTATTTCTCCATCATCCCGATCATGTTGTCCACCAGATTCTGCGCCCTGTGTAGAAATAAAATCGCACCAAAACATTCTCAGAATTTGGTATGAGTCTCAGGGAAATTTCGCCACCTCTTGAACTATTGGAGATATTTTGGCCCCATTTTGTGATGTACCAATGAGCAGAAAATAGCGATTAGCAAATTTAAGTCCTAAGCAAACATCAGCTGAATACCAGTTAATAGTCATTATAAATTATATGACATGTTAGATGGCATGTCACTTTAAAAAATAAGACCTAACCACATTTTTGTGTGTGTATAGCAGTTGAACGAAATTGGCCTCATGCAATTTGGTTCAAACCTTGATCGTTAAGAATAGCAAAAACGGCTGCGGCAAATATGGTTTGCCCGGTCGTTTAATGCGACACTATTTTGTTCAAATGTTTAATGACGCCACGCATACCTTGTTTGCTCTAAGGCGTTCTAAGAAATCTTTTGTGTCTCATTTTAGCCACGCACTTTTTAGTAAATAAATATCCATGTCTGTATTGTCTTCATTAGCAGAGAGCTGGGAGAATTTATCGGATCGAAGGGGAAGTCCCGTAAGTGCGAATGCAAAATTAAACCGGCGGTAACTCGATGGTTACCTCGAGTTTTTACGAGGTTTAAGAGGGTTTTCGGGGTAAAACATCGAGTTACCTCTAGTTTCATTTATCTTTCTTCCCTAACAAGGTTTGGTGTATGTGGGTATGACAATGAAAGTACTAAAGGACAGAGGCGAATATTGGTAACCTCCACTTACTTGCCGCCTGAGAGTTTCTGGATGGTTGATTTGACCCTGGAGATGCTGGGCCGGTCTGTCGGCTTCTCGGCCCAACAAGACTCCATCAACTCCATCATCTGAGATGGGCAGGCATCCCGGGGCACCACGGGACGGAAGACCGGTCGCGCACCCATCTTGACCGCCGTCACAATTTCTAGAGTGAGACCGAGATCGAATTGGTCAAAGGTGTCTTGGTCCAGTCATCGCAAGATCTTCAAAAGCCATCAGAGGTAGTCACAAGCCAAACACAAGTCATCCAAACATCCATTAAGATCATAATCGTATAGAGTCCAGAATGAAGTCAAGGGTTAGGATGTTTATATTTATTTCGTCATTGCTCACATTCTAAAAAATCCCAGTTCAGATCTGACCAGGAATTCTGGTTATATTAGGCCTGGTACTTTTCTGGGTCAAAAGGATACTTTTTCGGGTCAAGATCACACTTTTTCGGGTCAAAATGACACTTTTCCGGGTCAAAATGACACTTTTCCGGGTCAAAATGACACTTTTCCGGGTCAAGATGACACTTTTCTGGGTCAAAATGACCTGGTTAAAATAATAACCAGGAAAATGACACTTTTTGGGTCAAAATAACCCGGAAAATGAGTCAAAGAAGTGTAATTTCGACCCAGAATTTCCGTATGTTGACCCGGAAACTGTCATTATGACCCGGAGAAGTGTCATCTTGACCCGGAGAAGTGTCATTTTGACCCGGAAAAGTGTCATTTTGACCCTGAAAAGGTCACCTTGACCGGTAAAACTGTCAGGGCTGGCCCAAAAGAACCGGGATTCCCCGGTGTAATGTGACCTGCGACTTTTTCGAGTGCATTTTTACTACTGTTTGACCTCACTTGTGGTTTGTTTTGTGATTCGGATTAACCTGGTATCTTTTCTTAACATTTGTTTCCCTAAATGTGTCTTTAAAGAAAAGAAACCTTGCGTGTAGACCAATTTGGAATGAAGATGGAAATATACCGAGCTTGAACCTGACCTTTTGGTTCTAGCGCCTGCGTGCAGTACGGCCCACCCCGCATAACGATCTCCTGGAGAATGATACCGAGGGAGTAAATGTCGCCCTCTGGCGTCCCGTTGGATACAGCCGGGGGACATCTCAACAGCTCGGGTGCTGTCCAAAGTGAAGCTACAGAAACAAATGAATGTTTAAATATAGGTCGTACAGTCAGTTAGATTATATTTGCTCTTTGCACTCTTGACTAATGTATTCTAAAAGGTGATGCTAACTTGCAAAACAAATACGTCTTCGCATCGCTACTAAGTACGTTAGCTATGAATCAATTAAATTTGCTCAAACTTGTAGCGTCTTTTTCAACCTAACCGTCTGTGTCAGTGAGGGGGGGGGGGCATGACCAAAAATTATAAATTGCACGGCCGCGGATCCTTCGAAAAGCGGAGGGGAGGGGGGGGGGTCTGGAAAATATGACACAAGGGCACGCTGTTCATGACACAAAGGTGTACATCTAAAACAAACGTTTAGGTGCCTTAACTTTACATCAAAACGGTGCACCATTACTGCGGACCTTTGTTACAGTGACGTACCCTGATTGGTGCATACCTTTGTACACGTCATGCTCTATATCCTCGTAGACGTCAGTCTGGCCGCTCTTGAACAGTGCCAGCCCGTAGTCCGTCAGCTTGCAGGTCCATCGCTTGTCGATCAAGACGTTGGAAGACTTCAGTCTGCCGTGGGATCTCAGCGTTGTGCTGAACAGGTACTGGACTCCCTACAAACGGACAAAATCACGGAAAATCGTGACTTTTTGTTGAAGTTAAGAGCCGGTATTTAATATGTGAGCTTTAACTTCAAACACTCCGGTGTTCAGTAAGTAACACTTGTGTGGTGCCTATAGTGTTCACTGTTTACATTTATTCAAACACTCGGTCAACATCTTGTCATTATACTCAAACGATCTGGTAAAGTTTAACTCACAGTTTTCACGGCCATGTCACGCGGTGGCCTCGCGATCCGTTCACTATTCTGTCTAGTCTCCAAGAGTCCAAATATTCACATTAAAAAGTCACAGTTTCACACCAGATTTTATGAGAACGCTAACTACACTTAATAACAGTATTCCAGCTTTTCAAGTATACCAAAAATGTTGGCATCAGTGGTCCTATATAGGTATCAACGGTGTTAAATTTACACCGCAGATTTTGCAATATATTGCTGGGGGAAAAAAACATTCTTTTTATTGAATCCTAAGGTCATGTAATTCATCATAATAAGTTCAATGCATTCGGCAAGATATGATATACTGGAATTCGCTGATCTAAATTTGAAGCCATTTTTACGGTGGTGCCACGCTCACGCGCATGCCACACGCGTTCTTAAAGACACGGCGCGCGCGCATCTTGTGAACCCCATTGGTCGAAGGAGCCCGGACTACCGTGCGTACTACCTGAGCAGAAAATGGCTTTCGGCGAATTAGTCTAAACAGCTTTCAGTAATAAATGAACAGCACTAATGATTAAAGGCTCCAAATCGCCTAAAAGTACTATGCACCTGCATTGCGTTACTTGGATATCTAGGCGATAAATGAGAACCGGTCACTGCGAGATGGCGGAATTTCAGAAATGCTCAAGATTAATGACTTTTTTTGTAAATAGCAACCATTTTCTGCAGGTTGACCACTAATTCTGGAAACGCACGTACATATATACAAGTAATGACTGTCAATATGGACACAAGGTCGAGTTTTAAGCCTGAGCGAGTGAATGTCATACCTATCCTTTCTTGAACATAATATTAAGAACCATAATAATTTGAAATTCATCAAAAGTTAAATGCTAAGCTAAATCTTGAGGCCCAGGCGTCGTGAAATTAGGTCGCACATACCTTACAGATGTCCATGGAAAAGGAGAGTTTGAAGTTATCATCCAATTTTATATCATCATTTTCCAACACATCCTGCAATTAATGGCATTATAAAATGTGGTTAATTAATGAAGTTGCCCTTTTAGGCTATATTATTAAATGATTTGCAAAGTGTGTTGTAAATGTCTACACCGTAAAGAAAAGCTACTCATATAGCTTGCCAGTTTGATGTAACAACGTTCACAATAATTCAGGCAAATATTCAACAAAATTTAACAGCTACATGACTTGTATACAATATCATCCCGAACAAATCCTGCATATTGTGAACAGGGCTGCAATCATTTGCCTGGCTATCAGGGGTACATAGCTAGGTTCCCCAGTCCCTATGATCCCCAACCCTTACCCTAACCCTAGCGACTGGGGAACAAATATAGACTGGGGAACATCGGGTGGACCCCGCTACCATTCATCATGGCGAGACCTCAGCTTAAATAACACAGCACTGAAATTGATTAAGGCAAGGAACTTGGTCACATTGTCCAAAAATGTTGATGTGGTTAATTGACCATTGTGTAGTGATGCAGGACTGAAAGTAAATGACACTCATGGGGGTTTAGGCCAAGGATAAGGAGTTGAGTCAGATTTTTGTCAATTACCGACGTTTACATACCCACAAAACTCGCTTCATTTTGAAAAACAGCTCAGTTTGGCAGTGGCTATTTTGTGTCTGAAGATTTTCAGGGCTTTTGACTCAGAAGTATGCCTGTTAACTTCGCGTTGTTACGTTAATTTACGCTTCTCCATTTTCCAAATCTATTTTCGTTTTCATTTATTATGATTACTATGGGTTGGAAGACGACATTTTTCTCCTTTAAAGCAACTGATTCCTGGCTCACCTGTAAGCTGCCTTTATGACAGTACTCCATCAAGATACAGATGTTGGGCTGGTCGATGCAGGCACCAATGAATGGGTTAATGTTCTCGTGCTTGAGATTTCTCACCTGTTGTAAGAATGCACATTGTTCATCCTTGTATAAATATTTTGTTAATGTTAAAGGGGCATTACGACCTGAAATCCCCGAAAGTTTGTATGTTTTGGATTGTTCACTTATCACTTCACATAAAGGTCTGGTTGAAAGGAAAGTAACATAATGTCTTACCGTTCGTAACAATTTCGACAGTTACTTTGTGGATAGCTGCAAATGATATACTCTTACTTTTAAGCGCACTCATGGAATTAACCATTGGAATAAAGGTGAATACGATTACATAATACCATGACCTCGCAATACCTACCGTTGATATTTCAATTAGTTGTTCTCTGCTCAGTGTTATGCTCTTTTTCCTGACGTTCTTGATCGCGACTATGTAGCCCTTCGAAATAAAGTTGAAATCGAAACGTTAATCGATTGCACGTAATTAAGAAGACAGCCCTGGCACATTTGTAATCTAGTCCACACAAGTCCATAACGAATCATTCAGTCTCGAATCTAGGTTTTAATTTTTATATTAACATTTCGTTGGTCTTTGTAATGTCTTAATTTTATAATCTCCTTTTTATTGATTCTCTTTAGTGATTCCGGTAATTTTCTTTACTTTGAGGGGGTTTTCTGTTTTAGATTGTTAAGATTGTTAAGACTTAAGATTGTTACTACATTGTAATCTATTTCTGTGCATTTTTACACAAGATTAGATTGTTTTTATTTATTATTTTAAGTTTATTTTAGAACTTTTACATGGAAAGCGCATTTGAACATTATTTCGTCATGGAATTTGCGCTATAGAAATCAATAAATTATTATTATTGTACGTCAAATTACAAGCTATTTCAAAATGAACCGAACACTTCTAACTGCTCAAAGGGCAGTGTTCTCTTCCAGTTTCCTGAATATTCTATAAAAAAAAAATCAAATTGAAGTTTCCATTTGTTTCACAAAATCAAATTCACACAACGATAATATTTCTCAAACGTTTGTCGTGAACAACTTGCTGTAATATCTACATGCGTATCCACCCAGCAGGCTGTCAATGAGACAATGTAACATTGTAACTTTTTTTCTGTCCGTGAAAACCTTACCTTGTACAAGGCATACTCGCAGAATCTCTGTATGTCAGTTTGGGTGGATGCCGCCGTGCTACGTCCCCCAGACAGCCGATTATTGCTCCCCATGGAACACCGTCCATTCGACTGTGACTTGATTTGAAAGAATTAAACAAGAATTATGTCACATTCAATCATCATTCAATTGAAGCGAGTCGGGCTGGCGCAGCCGTGAACTTGGTCAAAGACTGTGTACGGATTTGTTCACTTATATGTTGTAGCAAAATGTCACGCAGGCACACTTTTCCGGGTCAAATGACACTTTTCCGGGTCAAAAATTACTCCAAAAAGTGTCATTTTGACTCGGAAAAGTGTCATTTTGACCGAAACATGTGTCATTTCGACACAGAAAAGTGTAATTTTGACCAGGACATGTGTAATTTTGACCAAGAAAAGTGTAATTTTGACCCATAAAAAGTGTCATTTTGACCCGAAAAAGTGTCCTTTTGACCCAGAAAAGTGTCCTTTTGACCCGGCAGAGTGTCATTTTGACCCGGATAAGTGTCATTTTGCCCCGAAAAAGTGCATTTTGACCTGGAAAGTTTCATGTTCCAGGCCCCATGGGATCCGGATTTTGGGTCAAATCTGACCCGGGACTTTTAAGAATGTATATACATATTTTTTTTTTAACCTTACTCCTGCAGAGTAGATTGACAGAGTTTTCTTGGTGTCGAAAAAGTGTCCTTTTGACCCGGCAGAGTGTCATTTTGACCCGGATAAGTGTCATTTTGCCCCGGAAAAGTGTCATTTTGACCTGGAAAATTGTCATGTGTCAGGCCCTATAGGATCCGGATTCCAGAGCAAACCTGACCCGGGACTTTAAAGAGTGTATATATATATATTTCTTAATCCTTACTCCTGCAGAGTAGATTGACAAAGTCTTCTTAGTGTCGAAGAAGTGTCCTTTTGACCCGGCAGAGTGTCAATTTGACCCGGAAAGTGTCCTTTTGGCCCGGAAAAGTGTCATTTTGACCTGGAAACTTGTCATGTGTCAGGCCCTGTAGGATTCGGATTCCAGGGCAAACCTGACCTGGGACTCTGAAAAGTGTATATATATATATATATATTTCTTAATCCTTACTCCTGCAGAGTAGATTGACAAAGTCTTCTTGGTGTCGAACACCACGTCCTCAAAATTCACTCGCCATAGGTTGATCGACTGCAACTCGGCTTCCCGTTTGACTCGCCTTGAAACGAAACGAAAAACAACCAGACCTCACTTAAATAGAAAAATAACGTTTGTTCTTTTTTGAGTGACTGTGTAAAAAAAAAACAGTTGCAAGGTCCGTGGATTTAAACAAAATAGTTAGTTTGGACTTTGTCCGAATGTCTATATTTCTGTGAAAATGCCTCAATATTTTTGAACACTAATACTAGCTCTTCATTCAACTTATCGGCATGCGCACGCACGTTCTTTGACCTTCATATATTAACTAGGCATGCTCAACAGCACAGCAGATACGAACGCAAAATAATCACTGGCGGCAGTAATTATTTATCGATTGCTTTTTAAGTTGTTTTGAAATTATGAAAAGAAAATAAGAGTCTCGTTCCATATCCGAAAATTTCAATATTGGAAGGAGTGAATTTCCATCTTCTGACCTACAACATAATGAAACAGGTGTGGTAGACCTTTACTACGTGCTAAGTACGTTCTTCGTTTGTTTTTTGTTAAACACTTGTTTTGAATAAATTCTAGGCAATCAATTTCCAGAGATCACGGATTATAATATGTTGATGTCGCCCGTAACTTACCTGTAGAAATATCCTGTGACACATCCAGCTATTATGGCCAAAACGACAAGGCTGCAGGACACACCGATAACTATGGCAACTGGAATTATCAAAACGAACAAAATAACACCACAAGTTTACCCCCGCACTTGATAATAATAGTGGCATCTTATTAAGCGCAAGAGGTCCATCACTCAGTGACGTCATGGCGCTATACGATGAGTAATTAAGCAAACTAAAAAAAATTAATGCTAAGTCCGAGACATACAAATTGCAAGGTGCAAGGCGAAGAGGAGATAAGAGTGTGAACAGGTAGGTTTTGAGTTCTTGTTTGAAGGAGATCGAAGAGGGAGCTTGACGGATAGAGAGGGGTTATATATGATCTGGGTGAAATTTGTAAAATCCCTACGGAATCATTATACAGTCTCAATAAAATAAACAGCTTATAAACTGATGTTTCAACGACAAATGATGGTATGTGCATCTCTCGATGTAAGCACAATACACCTTTTATTTAATTTTTATTTTCGATTACCGGTATTTGTCTGACAGAATTCGTTATCCCAGCCGCACTCAGGCTCCCCGGTCGGTGGCACTGTGCCGCCCCCGGGCCATGTCGGGCTGAAGTCGTCGCGGAAGATCAGTTGTTTGGTCTCGTGGTTGTAGTTGGCATAGTCCACAAAATTTCTGTTGTGGAGGTCCTGCAAGGCGTAGTCGGGGTCCCGGTCGCCGTTCTGGTCGATAGTCACGTTGCCGTCCACACCTGAGTAAAACGGCGAGAAAATATCTTCAATCACGGATCCTACACGCAAGGAATAACGACTCGGCAAAACTCCTGGTGAGACGCGTGACAACGACCCGAACAAGTGGCAATTACAATAATAATAATAATAATAATAATAAATAAGATAGCGTTTTCCATCGTATCAACGATATCAGAGCACTTTACAATATTATTACCCCGTTCATCAGGCCATGGGACCACGCGGCAGCCGATATCAGCGCTCAATCGGTCCTCGACCCTCACAGGTACCCATTTATACTCCTGGGTGGAGAGAGGCAATTGTAGTTAAGTGTCTTGCCCAAGGGCACAAACACCATGTTCCTGGTACGGTACGAACCCACGCACAATTACAGTGAAATCTCATGTCATAATCTCATCTTTTCTCTTAACTAAGAAACGAAAAACGGAAAAAAACTGAATTATTTCTTGCTGTGTTTTGTCAGACAGAGGTCACCTTCAAATTTTGTGTTCCTCATCTTCTTGGCGACGGCTTTTCCATCATACTCGTCTCCTCCCTCTGCGATCACATCGTTAAGGGCTAAGGCGTACAGCCAAACTGCGTCATACAATGGACCCGCGTGCACGTCCACCTGTGAATTTAAGCACAATTCTTTAGAATTACGACAAACAGCCTATTTGGTAATCGAATCGACAAGCGTATCACAAGAAGTGTCAGTCAAACTAGTCATTTTCTCGTATTGGAATGTACTGGTCTCTAGCATTTATTTTGTCTAACTACATTATAGTCATCTCACGGCTGCATATGTTTTCGAAACCTAGGCGCCTCTTCTGCTTCAACTTCTTGAGATTTCTGGAGATTATTCTGGAGCCATAGACGAAGCCGAAACCTGAGACGAAGTAGACTAGTGTAGTAGTGTAGTAGTGGTTTCAGGAAACCTCCACTATAGTTCGTTCTCAAACTTGTTCCTTCCAGGAACGATGAGAAAACGAGTCTGCAGTCAAAAAGTCACGTGCTAAGTACCGACCTCTACTAGTGACGATCTAGGACGTAATATTTAAGGGGGCAGGGGCCTCATTTTCCGGGGCACCCAATGGACTTACAACATAAAGCGATAATTGTTGCCTTCCCTCGTTTCTGAGCGGTGGGCTCATTTAACTATACGAACCTCATACACGGGGAGCACCTTTCCTTAACTACGCACTCACCTTTTCTTCGGGTTTCATGGCTCTGTTGAAAGGCTCCTCTGCTACCCACCGCCGCACCTCCGCCTTGAAGCCCTCGTACGTGTCCACGTCAGGCGTCTTGATGTGGATGTTCAGCAGGCCGTCGAAGGCCTGAGCGGCGTCGGCGTCCCGCCCGTCCTCGCCCATCCAGGTGTTGCGGCCGTACATGGCGTCCTCCACCACATCCACGCAGATGAAGGCGAACTCGCCGTTGAGAAGGCCCAGGTCTAAGGCGTTCAGCATCAGGTCGCGGATGTCGCCCCCGTAGGCGAATAGCATGAAAACTACATAATAACATTAAACATGGCAATTAATACATCAGTTGCACGAGCCCGACAATGTTGACGCTCAGAGCCAAAAGGAGCATATTACTGGCAGCTTGGGGCTACCAAATTTCACAGTCGATCTGAAGTAGGAGCCTGAGAAGAACGGAGCCCTTCTTTCCCAGCAGTTTAATGTAAGTTCGGGACTGTGAAATACTGAATCAATTGTATACGTGAGGATTGTAAACGTTCAACCAATAGAACGGTACTGGCACCGGATTTCATAGGAGTCCAAGTTTCATGTGACACTGGAAAAGTGTTTAAGATCAACCAGCTGGTCTTTATTAAACGTTTAAAACCGGCCATGTGACGGGCTCTCGACCAATAGGAAGGGTAAAGGTATTGTAAATGATTGATAAAAATATAGGGTGAATGGTAATCTATAGTATACACTCATGGTTGCATCGATAGGTCTACGTTCTTCCACAAGCAAGGTATGTTGACTAGCAGCTGCAATAAAGTAAGATACGTTATAACGTATTGATTATGGGTCGAGAAGAACTTTGTTAGGGGAGGGAGGAGGGGGTGCCGGGTTGTTACGTACAAATCGACGAAGCTTATTAAAAGGTAAATTGAAACTTACTCCGTGCTGATTCTTTAGCATCTTTGATAATGTCCACGTGCTGTTTCTGTTCCCTGCCGCTGATATTCTCGTGCCCCGGGCTGAAGGTAACAAAATTGCTGACAGTGAAGCCGTTACTTTCTAGGTCTAGCTTAACAGCGTAGGAGGTCGTCTGCCAAACGTTCTCACTAGAGGTCAGAATGACAGCCCGCCCCCAGCCGTAACTGCTCATGATCCGGCTGAACATGGGCGCCATCTTGGTGTAGGGCCCCACCGTCCGCGTGAAGGTGTTGTAGTCGTCCTTGTTAGACAGCTGCAGGCTGGAGCAGCCCCAGGAGATCATGGGAAGGTTCCAGGCCGAGGCCAGCAGGCCGACCGGCTCGCATACCACGTCGCAGCCGCCGCCGATAAAGGCGTGCAGCCGTCGGACATTCAGCCACAAGTTGACGGCTTCGTACAGCCCGACTTTGCCAACGCATCGGGTGTCGTTCCAGATGAAGGTCAAGTTGCGGCCAAGCAGGAGGTTCGGATCCCGGTTGATGTTGTCTACCGCCACGGTCATAGCACCGGCAATGTACCTGCCTACCGGCCACTGCCCGCTGAACGGCAGCAAGAGTCCTAAGACAATATCCTCGTGGTCATCAGACCCAACACAAATAAAGCACAGTAATGAAGGTACCAGCATCAGCAACGCAAACTTCCCCATGCTGCTCTCTGGTCCAAAATAATCCTTTCCAAAAACACTCCTCCAAAATAACACCTCAAATTACAATACCTATGTTGCAGTTCTCACAAATGACACCCGATATCGTTCTTCACCTGTAAGATCCTCAACTTTAGCGGTGATTTCTCATTGTAGTATTCCGTCCTGTTGCCATCGGCGACAAAGCATCCCTCCATCTTACGATAAAACGCTTTCAACAATGACACGGGAACACGATACTAGCGGAGCGCGTGCCGCACCGTAGACGCACAATCACGCACTCTATGATCGCCCTCTGCTCCGTCCCAGCCCACCACCGCTCTCCTCCTCGAAAAGTAGGTCACACACTGTTTACCAGATCTTCAAAGATGAAACCCACTCGGAGAGTTTCTACGGCAGGAGGACGGCCAGCACGAAAGACGTGCATTTGCTTCCAACTGCAGGGAAAACATGTCTTTCCCGTTCGTAGTATAGCAGGTCAATTATCCGGCCAGCTCAGCTGGAAGAGTAGGATCCTCCAGATACACGACCGGGGAGGGCGATGCTGCAATGAAAACAAAATACACTCTCAATAATGGATATTTGATAGGAAGACCAAAATCTGCGTTTGACATTAAACGACGAATTTAGAAAGAAAACACCATAAACAGAGGGCGAAGAGATAAAGGCAGTTTCTTGATCAGTGTGCATGGCCAGGATTTGTGGAAGGTCAGTATGCATACAGACCTTATGTTATGTTGTTTGGTAAGAGGGGGTTCATAGCAATTTCAATTTAGTAAAAATGAATTCACAAACTGTTTTACTCATGCCGATCTGTGCGATAAAGAAAGCGTCGCCCTCTACTTAACTCCACCCTAACGCATATTGGTCTCTTATTATTTCGTCATCACTAAACAAGTGTTTCTGAAATGCTCCTTGATTGTTAATTTACCAGATTTTACCAAGGATCCAGGGATGCGCCTACTCTTGTACAGCCTTCTTGATTTTCCCAAAATTCAAGGCGACGTTGAACCATTCGTTGTTACTTATTAAAACATGTTTGTTATGTGTCAAAATAATTCGCAAGTTATACGATTGACGTGTAGTTGGAGGCAAACACATTCTGTTATTGAGTTGCCTTGCCTTAATGTAATGACAGAATTACCATGTGATCCTCAAGTGATGAGGTCAATTGATTTTTTTTCATAATTACTCGCACGATGCAATACACACATTTCCCATACACAAAAGTGTATGCCCTAGTTAAAAGGACCTTGGTGAAATGAATAAAAAAAAATTCACAAAAGTCATTTTAAAAAGCCTTCAAATCCAATTGGAATGACCATTGACTGGGCATGTGATCCACCACCAATTACTCGCGATGCCAAGCTGACGGAAATTTTAATTTAAAAATGACAAGCGCGGATTGAAATGTTATCAATGCACCAAGCTGCCAAGGTTTTGACGCGAAGGCTTGGTCCAAACTATCACCAATAGAAGTACGATAATTCCGCGATGATTAAGGCCAATGGTGACGTTTGTATGGCTCTCGCCATAGGCGGATAACCATTCCACATGTTCAGTGAATGATTTACAATATGCTGTCATCCTCCTTCCGTGTGTCGTTTTGTGATTGATCATGGTGGAGAGAGATTAGCTACTTGATCTATAGAATGTCACTTAAAGATTGATACTGTCAGGCTACAAATGGAAATGTGAGTGTACGTGCTAACGCAAGGTTATACGCTTCATTAAGAGACCAAAACAAAATACTGATTTGCGAAATGTTCTGTGATAATAAACATTCATGCATAAAACATATGTACAAAACACCGGACGATTCTTCTTTTTACATCTACAGTATGGTATCATTAATAACCAAAACGGTTGCCCAAAATGCACGAATGTTCACATGTTTCTAAAAGCTCTTATTTCTTGATGGCCTTTTAAATCGGGTTATGGAAACTATCATTCTATATTTATCTCCTTATTAGATTACGTTGATGAAAGGCAAAACCAGATAATGCAGTATATTCTTTAACGTATTTAAAGGTCTATGTGGTCACATTTTAACATTTATTTTGGGCTGAATAAATGTTTCAAGAAGGCGGTGAAGGTGAAGATCCTACGGATCCCTTTTTCAGAACAGTACCAAATAATTTAGTAAAATATCTAATCATCTTTGAGCGTACTGTACAGGGTGAGTTAACAAACCGAGACCCTAATGTCGGGACCATTGTTTTAGTGAAGATCTGCATGTAGCACTTTTAAAATCTAGGATATGAAAGCTCAATTCATAAGCTTTCTTTTAGTACAAAAATCATTCAGATCACCCATGTACTTTTCAAGTTGCCGAATTTTAAACACAACCGCCGTTTTAAAGTTCTGTCCATAGATCACAAAAAGGTTAGCGTTCTTTTAACAAAACGAAAACAAATCACATCGGGATGTGGGTGAATTGTTTTCGTTTTGCTGACAGAACGCACACTCTTTTTTGTAATCCGTGGACAGAAATTTACATGTGTTTAAATGTCCGTCACTTACAAAGTACATTAAATGATTTGAATGATTCTTGTACTATAAGAAAGCTTATGAATTGGGCTTTCATATCCTGGATCTGTTACTAAGTGCTAGAAGCAGAACTTCACCAATACAATAATCCCGGCATTTGGGTTTCGTTTTTTTATTTTTTGACTCGCCCTTTATGACGTGAGAGCCTTATCCAACTTCCATTTATCCAGCCTCAGATGCTTAAAATTATTTCTCATTTTTTTCTTCAGATATGGATGTGAAGTGTCTCAAGTGCTCGGGTTGAAGATGACTCTATTACTGCATGCTGAAGTCCAAAATACACTTATTAACGTCTAATAACATTCAAACACAGGGGGAATTGGAGACAGCCCGTCCTGGGTGAAAACAAACCAGGAACATACTCACGACGCCGGTTTAGCCTTGCGCCGCAGTGAAGAAAATTACGGACGTGCTATTATTTATCATGTTTTATTAGTCATTATGGTCCACTCGTCTCAAGCATTGTTGAGCGAAATGTCACTTGACTTCGACGGAAAGATCCGTTATTCATCAAATGTTGTGTTCCAATTTACATTTAGGGCCCACTCTCGCCAGGAGGTCGCCAAATTGATCGTGCTCTTGAATGTGCAGCGAACATTTTCATGTTTTCAAAGATTTCTGGGTTACACGATTAGTCAAGTAAGAATTGACCTGAAATATTCCAGACCCTGACATTTTAGTTAACAACCGAATGTTTCGAAATGATCTCTTAGGATGTGGGCCAACACATTTGTGTTCATGCATGTGTGACGTGATTGTGTCCTGTAATTTCTGGAAGGAGTAGTGTTTTCAGTAGAAACAGGGTTTTTTTGGGGGACCCTACTAACCCAATTTTCCAGGACTGCATCAATTAGTAGACGGTCAGTGGAGACCTATTAAAGTGAACAACAGAGGGCCGAGCCTGAGGGAGGAGTTGATACCCGGGCCTGAGGGACGAGGCGATTTATAGCCATGCAAGGCTGTTGCTGACGCTTGTTACTAGCTAACCAACCAACCAACCGACTCACGGAGAAACATGAGAATTTGTTGAGCTGCTTTCCGCAGCTAAAAAAAAACACTGTATGGTTCCCATGGACATATACAGAAAATTCAACCTTTTTCCTTGGGGACATGTGATTTTTAAGCTCTGAAAAAAAAATGCCAATTTCTGCAATGATGGCAAATGATTAAATGACAATAACGATGACGACAACGAAGTTTTAAAAAATGCCTTTTCCGTTATTTTGGTCATAATGTTCATTAAGTGTGCGCCCTTGCCATTACATATATTTTAAGTTGAAAACTCGTAAGAATCCTGCCCGACTATTCAAAGGGTAGGATTTCCCGTAGTGGCGGAAATACATGCCTTTCAATATATATTGTACATCCTTATTTCTTTTCTTTTTTAAAATTAATAAACATATTTCTCTGAGGTTGATTTTGGTTGAATTGTTTTGGGAGATAGCTGGAGTCCCAATCAACACATTGCAGCCAAAACGTGCCTGTTAACTAAAAATGTTAGGGTTCTCGTCCGTTTCGTGCTGGACAAGATATCCAGTTACATTTAACAGAGATGTTGACACACCGTGTTTGTTCACATCTGCCTCGGCCACGAATGTCCAGCAATGAATAAGGCCATCGGATTATTAGCAAAGCTGTCAACATCAGAATGGCGCCGCACAAAATGCAAACCCAGAAACTAGGCCGCACGACAGCACGCCTGCTTAAGGCCAAAACAAAAAGTCTCCGGTTTCTGGTATGCGCGCGCGTCGCCGTAGCCATGCGCGTCGGCAAAATGAAAACTTTTTTTTTTCAATGAAAGATGATGTTTCAAAACCGCCAAACTCACTGGTTTGACTGGAATCCTGCTGCTGCACAATTTTAACGTGTTTTTAGATTGGGTTATGGTCGAGAATAAGCTTTATGTGGCCTCTCTGGACTCCCACATATTTGCACTAAGTTTAGTCGGGCACCATTTGCAGTCATCAGCCGACATTTGAAGCAAAAAAGTCAGGTAAAAAAAAAAAAAAAGCCGCGTCGCCGCACCACTTTTTGGGCAAGCTCCATACCAGAAACCGGAGACTTTTTATTTTGGCCTAAAGCAACGTTATCAAAACGAAATAATGTTGAGTGGATTCAAGAGCTGGCACTCGGACAGGCCGGTTTTTTTTTAGGACCAAGGTTCCATTAAAGTCGCCCACCCGGTGTAATTGCAAAAAAACCTCCAACGGTTCAAGGGCCATGTGGAGTTATAATTATGTCATGCTTTTTAATGATCTTTGCAACAATTATCGGGTCGTGGGAAAGGCGTGCAAGCCCACTCAACACTGTGCCTTAATGAATGTATTGTACAGGATCACTGAAAATATTGTGTTTTTTAATCAAATTTGCAGGCAGGAGTATTTTGTTTTTCGTCTATTTTGCTAAATATCAATAATAAACACCACTGCAAATCCATCGAAGAAAAAAACCTAACAAGTTGAACTTTCATCAGCTCAGTGGATAATACACTTTTTTCTCGGGAAAACAGTGACAACCATGCAAGACCTTTTGATCACGAAACACGATTTCACCAATGGCTTTCTTTACTTCCAACGATCATGTCCAACTGACCGGCATTTTAATTTTTTTTTCTAAATGACCGTACGGATTTATTTCACGGGATGTTTAGTACCAGTACGATCAATAATGCAAGTAAACTTTTTGATGATAATCAGGTAGATTACCGTGGGATAAATGCAAATGATCCCTTTAAAGGGAAGTCATATCATTGAATCATTCATAAATTAAAAAAAAAATCATTATACTTTATGATTTGGTACGTTTGATTTTGAAATTCTGTTCAGCGGCTGCAATTTGCGATAATTGATGCCATGTTAACGCGAAAACGTGTCGAATGGAAAACTCGTATTTAAACACGTGATTGTCGCTGCCAAAAAAGTGCAGCGACAATTTCTACCGGTACGTGTGTATTGAAATACTGTAGAGATGAGTCATAAAACGGTTGCCTCGAAT